AGCCAGGCACTGAAATAAGACTTGGTCTGTTCTGTCTTATGTACTGCTGGCTCTATAAGTAATTATATGTGTGTGTTTAATGCACTGTGTTTACTCTGTTCAATTCCGTAACTCTGGTCACCGCCATTGCAGTTCATGCACTGCCTTGTCGGATTGCATTTGAAAGGGTCAAAGAACGTCATTTCCACTTTCTAGCAGTTTCTGTGGGCACATTGGGATGGGTTGTTCTTGCTGAAGAGTTACCATTGAAGCAGAATTATGGCATAGTTCGTGTTGCTGCTCCCTTGGCTGGAACAAATGTAAGCTCAGCTATATATTCTATTGTGTATTTCATACTAGATGCCGCAGAACTCGTTTGCACTTGATCGTATTCTTTTTCCTGCGCTATTTTTTTCAGTTTCCGTCTGAAATAACAGCTTAAGAGTTTTGATATAATTACTGAGATTGGGAACTAGTAAGGACTTGGGGTTGGTCTTGGCTCATCTTATAGTCCAAAGTCTAGAGCTGGCAAAACCTAGCACAAAGTACCTGCCCAACCAAAACTGAAAAGCAATCAAACTTGACCTAGACCCGTATCAACCTTTACCATAAATCTGAGCACTGACCTAAATTTGAAACTAACTTGAAGCTTAGATTCAGTATTAATATATATATATATATCAATTCCTTTTTTAAAAAAATTGATTTAAATTCAAAGTTGATTACTGTATTAGTCCTTGGCTTGTTATCTTGCTGAACTTGCTTCTCTAGGATGTGATAAAAATTAACGCGATCGTAACTGCCAGCAACTTGTGTAATCGTCCCTGCCTTTGTGCTGATTTGTTGTGATCAATGGAAGACCACACAGGTGCACTTTTTTTTCCACTCTGCCTCCTCGGAACCGTGGTTTCATCGAGGAACATTTTCATTTTAAAAAAATATATATTACTCTAGTGCTACTATGCCTTGAGAGAAAAGTGGACACATGAATTTACTTTTAATGGTCATTAACCAGAACTTGAGTTCTGCAAAAGCCGAGGTAATCATACTTTTGTTTGTTTCGGTTTCTTTGAGTATTGAGGGTGAATATCATGACATTCATACTTTATGTCCTTTCCTGGCAATTATGCTAATGTCTTGAAAATCTTCAGCCCAGAATAGATGACAAGCATTCAAGATGGCTACACTTACGGTTACGGATTCGTCCATCAACATTACCCTTTTTGGAATCTTCTAAACCTGGCATGCCCAGGGAAACGAGGACAAAATTTCTAGTCGACGGGAGATGGACCCTAGCTTTCAGGGCCGACGAATCCTGCAAAACCGCATTTTCTATGATACTGGAAGAGATTGAGCTACATAGCACCGAAGTGGAGAGAATACCAAGACCGGTTCTCGACCTCGAACGGTAGATTCTACAAATCTTTTTAATTTTTTTATAAATACCCATTGTTATCATCCCATTCGGGGTTTTATGTTTTTAGGTGCGAGTTTGTTGCCTTTGCATCCTTTTGTATATACCGGTAAGGCGAGCCTAGATATACCCCCTGCCGTCGATTAGGTCCCCTGGTTCAGTGCCATTCTTGTTAGGTATTAGCTAATCCATTGCCTGATTTGTTAGTTTATTCCCTTCATTATTCGTTTACCCTTATTCTTAAGCTTAGGCATCCCTTGCCCCTATCTCCTAATTTTGTAAGTTACGTGACATCATGTACATTTGCAATCTCATATAAGTAAAGGCCATTGTGCATTCCTTTTTTTCCTTTTTTTTCTGCAACAGTTTGCTAGTAATAGGGTTGGACCGGGTCGGATTTCGGGTTTTCCATATTTTACATCGGGTTTTGGTATGTTTTACATTATTTTTCATTTTTTATGTTAGGTGGAATCATCACGTTTAGAATTTAAATGTTTGAATTTGGAAATAAATATTCATTTTAGTTCTTGTATTACAATTATTTGTTTATGGTGTAAAATACACAAAGGATTACTAAATTATTTAAAACTGATTATTAAATTTTATGATAATATACTGAATTTTAATGAGTTTAAAGAATATTTTATAATAATTAATAAATTTAAATATTTTTTTATAACAATTTGAAAATTTTTAATTATAATTTTTGAATAGTTTGAATAATTATAAGACGGTATTTTAGATTTTTTTAATTAATTGATATTGTATACATATTCTATAGATGTTGTTCGAATTCGAATCAATAATCTTTAAGAAAAATAATATTCCCTTTGATTAAGAAAATCTTGTGGATTAATACGACTCATAATTTTAAAACTCCATCTATATCGGAGGAGGATTTCTTCTGAGTTTTTAAATGATATGCCAATCTATTTATATTTAATTGATTGATGATAAAGAATATATAGTATATCCATTCTTCCCCCCATCACATATAAAAGCTTTTCCTCGACAGACCACTACAAGCACTGCAGCACACTTGCCTATCCCTAAAGCAAATCAGTGCTGAACAAAAGCTTTTCAATTTTCAATTTTTTATTAGCAATTAATGATTATTTATTAATTGGACTAAAAAGAGGTGGAATAATAGGGTTTAACCGTAAATTTGATCTCTCTTTTCGACATAGCTACGATGATCAATTTAAGTGTGAGCATTAATTACGGTCAAATGATAAATATTAAGGATTAATGATCAATGTCGATATAATATTATTTAAAAAATAATTAAATTCTTATTAAATAAAGAATAACCTCTAACAAATATAATATAATTTTAATATGAAAAAAATAAAATTAAAATCTTCTTTTAATATTTTCTATCCTTAAAAAAACTAAAAATTATTAACAAACATTTTCTCTCTATTCAAAATTAGACACAATATCGATGTAAGCCTAGAGATAGAGAAAACTAATCTGACAAATTGATTTGTGAACGATTTTGAATGAATCGATAAACTGTTATAAAAGGGATTTAATTATACAAAACCGTCGACCTTTTTTTTTTTTAATTATTGATAGTTATCTTTTAAAACATTCATCATTCTTTGCATCTATTTTTTTCAATTATTGACAGACATCTTTTAAAACATTCATCATTTTTTGCACAAATATAAGACCATTCTTTCTTTTTGTTTCTCACTATTGCTAATTAATAATAATAAAATAAGAATGCTATAATTAAAGATACAAAAGCTTAATGATTAGAGGTTCAACTTGAAAGGTTCTAAATTTCTAATGTAATCATTATGTTATTTGTTTATACTTGTTTCAATTAGGATAAGCTTGTTAGTTGTAATCTACTATATATATGTTTTAAGACTTTTGATGTTTTAGGTTCGAAATTTATCATCAACAAATATTGTATTTGAATTTTATATTTAGATGTTACTGTAATTTAACTTTTATCGTACATTTATTCTATATGAATATTATTGATGGTATAGATATATGATTATGACTACGAAAGATATCATAAATACGATTATAACAATTTTTTGCAGCATATTCCTTTTAATTTCAGTGAAGAATTATAGCTGGTTGGTCTATAAGAAAGAAAGAAAAAGTAATCGGGCTGAAAATGACAATAAATAATTATAGAGACAGATGTAGAGAGGGAGTCTTATTCGGAAGGAATTCTTTTTTTCATTTTAAATAGTAACTTATATATTTTTTTGGATAAATTTCTCTCTTATATTATCCAAGAAGCAATAAAAAAAAAACTCACTGCTACAACCAATACAGACAGCCAAACCAGAACAGCCTCCTAGGGAGTGCTAATCCCCCAAGCTAGACAAAGATTACAGTTAATAGCATTATTCTTAATAGCTATTCTAGCAGCTTTAATCCTAATTACATCCTTAATGCAATTGATCACAATATCAATCTCCCTATGTATGCCCCTAAACTACCTATGATTTCTCTCTTCCCATATACAATATACATACGCACACCAGGCTAATCTAAGAATAAGCGAATGAAAAGTTTTACCTCTGAACCGAGATATCGCCCAGTTCAGTTCCTCCTCCCAATTTCCCACAGTTCTATCAATGGTACACAGCCGCATAATCCCTTCCCAAACAACCCTCGAAAAAGGGAATTCAAAAAATATATGGATGCGAGTCTCACACACAACATCTCACAATATGCATTTATCGTTCACCTCAATCCTCAAACGAATCAACCTATCAGCAGTAGGCAACCTATCAAGATTAGCCATCCAAGCAATGAGGGAGTGCTTGGGTATATGCATGGGGAACCATAAAATTTTATGCCACCCAACCTTCTCCTTCCTCCCCCTGATCCCCTGCCACAACCATCGAGCATTGACCTTGTCCCAATCCATGGTTTCTACAAACAGAGGATATACTTCCTCTCTGGCTTTCAAAATTTTCCTCAAGCTCCAGCTGTACGAGGCTTTGCACTCCATAGTCTAAAAATCAGCCCCTTTAAGAACATATGTCCTCACCCAAGCAACCCAAAGTGAGCTTTCAGCAACAAGTATCTCCTTGACCAGCAGCATTATACAAGCCTTGTTCCAACATTTCAAATTCTTAAGGCCCAGCCCCCCTCTGATTTAGGGTACAAATTACCTCCCAACTCATCCGAGCCCCCTTAGCTGAAATGTCTCCTCCCTTCCAAAAGAACCTAGCACAAAGCTGGTCCACTCTTCTAACCACATAAACTCATAAGTTAACAATAAATAGATATGATTGTTATATAAGATATTTAACTTTGACAGATTACGTAATTTTATCAATGATCATGTCAAAATATTGTGGTTGCTCAGAACACATAAACTCATGAGTTTTTCAGGCTTCAATCAGAATATGGCTTGCGAAAGAGATATGGAAGAGATATAACAAACATATTTTAAACAGGGAAGAGTGATAATAAAAGATGTGGATGTTGAAACATATTTAATCTTACATTATATAATATATCAACAATAATATCAATTAAACTAAACTCAATCTACTTTTAATAGAAGAGTTTATAATTAAAAAATATTAAAAAAAACGAGTCGAGAAACATCATAGAAGAGAAGTGAAAATTAATTGAAACAAAGAGGAATATTACAAGACACATCCTATGAAAGTAAGCAGTTACACAAACCGATAATGTTTTCGGTATTTGCGGGAATTTTACATAAGAGAACCCCAAACTAAACCCCGAAACAAACTTGGATTTTGCCGGGGAGACAAGTCCCCATGTATCCATTCCCCATGGATTTTTCAAGTATACTCCCATAACTTAATCTAATTGCAACTATACCCCCCTCTCCCGCTCCATTTTTCACAGTTTGCAAGCGTGTTTGAAAAATGTCTTTTAGCCACTTGTCAAAAAGGCTATTCACAAAGTAACTTGAACCAAATAAAACCCCCTCCAATACCCTATCTTCAACACTAAATCTAATCCCCTTTTTACCCCCCAAAGTCTCTTCTACCACCCCTTTCATCTTGGCCATGAAAAGCTCTTTGATTTCCTTGTATTGATCTTCAGTTTTGTTGAATGTGTAGTAGTTTTTGATGCATTCTAGGAACTCATTTTGGACATTTGGCTCTGCTGTTATGTTACTCGACATGGGACTGAACTCCCCGCAGCTGTTGTCAGTTTCATCGGCTGTCATGTTCAGGTCAAGAATGTGGAAACTCGGTCGTGTTCTTTGTGTTTTGGTCTTGTTTGACTCACCCCATTCGAGTTTTCTCTTGTTATCAGTGTTTTTTGGTGTACTTCTTTCATTGACATTGAGCTTCATCTGGATCACCGAGTCATGGTTCGTGTTCCCATCTCCATAGCTCGAAGAAATGGACTTGGTTAAAATGTATATTGCTCGGTTACTGTCTCTCTCGGATTCGAATCTATCGGCTAGCAGCTTCAGGAACCGAGTGTCGGCCAAATCGACGTTTTCCACCATAACCACAAGCTTTTCATTGCTGCTAAATGAACTCACAAGTCTTTGATTCCATGATGTTGTCACCTCGTTGTTTTTCATGTCCATGTGCAAGACTAAATCGGGTGACCCCAAAACATATTCCGCGACCGCACGTGCCAGTCTTCTTTTGCCGATCACATCATCTCCCTCGATCAGTAACCATGTCTCTGTTTTGGAATCCGTCAGTGCTTCAACTATTGAAGGAATAATCTCAGATTGCCATGGCAAGTTACCTTGCAACAAATCACGTAATCTACTACTCGTCTCTTTTACCGGTTTCCCTATACAAGTACCAAGCGCAAGTGAGACATTTACCTCTTTATCCACCTCACCGTTCTTAAGTGAATCCAAGTTCTGTTCACTTGATTGGTGCTTGTTAGTAGCGTTGCCGAAATTTAGCTCGAAGGTACACGAGTTTTGCCTTCGGAATCTAGGGACCGAATTTGGCCTGTGGTTTGGTTTCGAATCGGAATCGGTGAAAGAGATCGAAGTCAAGTCGGAGAAGCTACTGCTTTCACTAGGCCACCAAGGGTATCTCAAATGGCTCTGATTCTGCCTTTCTCGATGTAAACTATGGCAAACTGTTTTATACTTTCTCCTTAGTTCAACCATTTCATCCTGCAAGCATATAGATAAGGCACTAAATTGACCATTCAAGAGGTGAAAAAAATGAAGGGATTGCATCAGTACGACTTCAAAATTTTTGTTACCTTTTGGCTGCCATTATTACTCTGCAGCCAAGGAGGCAAGAGCTTTTGCTGGCCTGACTTGAACGACTGCACATCTTTCTCGTAATTCGAACTGCACAATGTCAAAATCATATATCATTGTTATATATCATGTGTGTGAATACACATATATGCATGTATAGCTGAAGCAATAGAATAATTGGACCTGTAAGCAAAAGAAGAGGAGTTTTTGTCTTTTATTTCCTCAAAAGAATCGAACACAAGCATGAAACATAAGGGAAGGACATGAAGAAACCAAAAAGGAGAAAAGAAGAAGCAAACTCATGCAGCTGCTATATCCCGATAAAGCATGGTAAAGAATGCATATAAAGTGATCCATATGCCTTACAACCCATATATTTGCTGAGTTTTGGCCGCATTCAGGCTACATTTACTGGGAACTTAAAGATAAAACAAAGGTTTAAAAATGAAAGAAAACGAGCCAATTACCTGGAAGCATGGAGGCTCAAATTGAGTCCACCTGAGGGAACTGAGACAGCTTGAAGTGCCCATTGAGCTTCAAGAGGAGGTTGTCTCATTTGGCACCTCAAGTATGTTTGGTAACTAGCAGTGGCCAGTAACCAAACCTTTGTGTTGGACGAGTTGTAGTCCGAGACCAACCTTCCTATTTCAGTCACAATATGATCCACTGCACTATAACCAGTGATTTCTCCATTGAGATTCTCTTCAACAGTCCATTTCAAGTCTCCTGTATAGATAATGGCACCTCCGGATCCCCCACATGAAATGGAATCCACTCTCCTTTTCAGATCATTGACATGGTTTTCAACATCGTCTCTCTTCATGAATCTCAAAGACATAGGCGAAAAGTAAAATTTGACGAAATGGACATGGTTTATTTCCTCAGGAACATCTCCTCTCTCTATCCTGCACGTCAGTTCCGAAACAAGACTCTCGGTTACGGAGACACAGTCACCAACTATGACACTGTTTCTCCTTCTTTTCCTCAAGAAAACTTCGAAAACCAACTTGATGTCTTCTTTCAAAGACGTCGAATCGGCTACGTAGTTGCTCGAGAGTTTCTTTTGAGGGGGAAAGAAAAATGGGGTTTGCCAGAAAGTGCTAGGGTTGATGATTTCTCTTCGAGTGTCGGTCGGAGAAGTGCTGTAACAGTGAAATACCGGTGAATGTGACGAGTCCTCGATGTTATTCTTAACAGCAGTGCTGGAGAAGCCAGCTTCTCGCATAACCCTACTGACGCTAGGGTCATCGAGAATGGATATGATAAGCTGTTCTAGCTCGACCTTTATAGTGAGGGTCGGTTGTTGTTGTTGTTGCTGTTGCTCGATGCAACCACTTCTCTGATGCGCTTGTGCTCGTTTGAGTGCGGCGACGAAAGCGTTCGAGAGCGAGGGTTGGCCATGAAGGATCGGTCCCGGGGTCGTCGGTAGCCGGTTGAGAGCCACATTGAAGCAAAGCTCGAGAGCTCGACACTGAAGAGGATGGGAAGAAGCTTGGTGATGGTGATGCGACCGAGACTTGAGACAAGCGCTTCTCAAAAGACTTGTTCTTGAGCTTAGCAAAGTGGCGGCCACATGGAGAGGAGTCACCTGACCATGGCCTCTCCGCCTCGCTAAGCCGAGAGAATGCTTCAATACTGAAGCAGCCTCCGCCGTGAGGGTCTGCTGAACCGTACAAGCTCCTGAGCGCATCACTTGGCGAAAATCCAACCCCCACACCAACCCCCCCTTTGAGCATAAACTTTCCAAACCAAAATTTTCTAACTAAATTTCTTTTTCCCACTCTCCAAACAGCACCCCACCCTTTTTCTCTCTTAGTAACGTAAAAAGCTTGGAGAAAAATAAAGCTGAGACTGTGAGCTCAGAATAGATAATCTGAAATGAAATGGAAACCAACGAAATATATATGGAGAGATTTCTTCGGAAGAAGAGCTTAGTATAGTTTTAGAAACACAACAACAAACCAAACCTCATTCTTTATACTTCCTTCTCATTCATCATTCTTTTCCTTTTCCCATTTGTTTATTTATTTCTAAATTGTGGGCAGCTTTTTTAGCTTTTTATCTCCACTTTCTTACTCTCTTCTTTATATATACTAATCTAAATAAATAAAATTCTTATTACAATATCTATCTAGTATCTACACTCATAATAATAAATACGCAGCAGAAAGAATGATTTTGTTATTAAAACAAAAGGTGCTTATTTATTGATACGAAACATTCCACTGCACTTGTTGGGACTTGCAAGTAATATGGAGAGTAGTAAAACTTTCATGGCATGATGAAGTTAGTATATCCACGACGAGTATAAAGCTGCAAAAAGAAAGATCTGATCAATCTTAACCATGTTCCTTTTTCGTTTCACTGTGCTGCACTTTTTATATTGCTCCATAAATATTAACATGTTAATATACTAAAGCCCTAAACTAATGCGAATTAGCAGCAACAATCGTTTCCAGTGTACAATATTGCATGATTTGAATTATTGTATGTCAAGTAAACATCATTATAATTAGCTCTTAGTTGATATCTTTTATTTTCTTTAGGTTGTGAGTTCAATACTTAGGAGTAAAATCTATTAGGAGTTATTAGAAAAATAAGAATGAAAAGTGGTTGCATTTATAGAAGAGAGTGCAAGGAAAAATGGAGACTGGTAGAGGGAAGAAAAGGGTTCGTCCATCTTAGTCCCACATTTCGAATTTGAAAAGAAGTGAGAGACGCCCCCTCCTTTGAATGGACAAACAAAGGCAGAAATTAAAAAAAAAAAGTAAAGAGATAAAGTTATAGAAAGAATGAGATGAGAAGGAAAGTTGTATTTGTAACTATTCTTTTTTCCTTTTTCATCGATTAGATGTTAGAGTTAAGCGATTTGATCCAAAAAGCAGGTTATATTAATTTATTTAGTGAATAAATAAAATTATGAGAAAAATGAGGATTTGATGCGTAACAGATATTTTTAGACTTCGTATAGTTTAAACGATTTATTTTTATCATTCATGTTTGAGGTTTGTGATTGTCCCTCTCAACAATGTTGTCTTCAAGATTCGAATCTAAGCTATTTTCTCGTAAGTGCAATGTTTCGGGCTATTGCATCTAATTTTTATTGAAGTCCGAGGTAGATATTTATAAAGATTCATTAAAATTAAACTTTAATCGAGTTGAATTTCATTTTTAAGATATAGTCTTGTCAGATTGTTTTTCATTGATAAAATAAATACTGAAATTTGGCATAAATAATATAAAACTTTTTTATATTTAGTCTAACCATAACTGATTTATCATCGTATTATTTAAAATGTTATAGTAAATGATGAAGTATATGTACACTCAATAATGTGGTTATCCATACGAGAGAGACAGAGGGGAAAAGGAGTTCAACTTCACGTCAATCCTCGCACAGAGACAACATTTTATTCCTCAAGTACCCAAAAAGCAACTCCCTGTCTGCTATCCTACACTTTGAATTATTGCTCCTTTTTCATCAAAACTTCGTAAACCCTCCGTTCCCCCCCCCCTTTTTTTTGTTACTTTTCATTTGAATTAATAGATTAATTTTATCGTAGTTCGATATTTATATTTCTAAAATTAATAAAATGTTTAGATAAGTTAAAGAAAATAATCCCAATAATTGATTTTATAATATTTTACAAATTTTTTGTTTTATGAGATGCGTTAAAATAATAACGTGGTATTAATTTAAAATATCAACGTGATATATTAAAAGAGTGATATATACTCTTGTTCGATAAAAATTCTCTAAAAAGGATAAAAGATTATGGTAAAGAAAAGGAGGGGGAAGTCTCACGTGCTTCATATACGATTAAGAAAAGACGTTAATAATATATAGTCTAAGTTAAACTTTATTGGTTAGTACAACAAATCAAGTAGATTTTATGATTATAAAATTTATTATTATCTTTCAAAATTTTGAGTTCAAACATTACGTGTACAAGGGTATAAGTTTTTATTGTCACAGAGTTTAAAATCTTTAAACGTATTTTGCTTTATTATATATATATATAACTTTAGTGGTTAGTTAAGCTAAGCAGAAACTTTTTTTATGGCCAAAGTCATCAATATCGCCCCAAAAAAATAGGTAATTAACATATTGCTAATAAATACGCTTTTTAATCCATCTTTTATCAAAATGTAATTATTGTGGAAAAGAAAAGTTAACTAAGATAGTTATTATCGATGCAAAGGTATGAACTTCAAAGCTTAATATTTATTTTATTTATTTACTTCAAGACCTTTACTTTGCTGAAGATTTTAGGGTTAAAAAGTTAATTGTTGCATTCAAATTTAAGATATTTTATCTTTTGAACTTATTATAAGTATTAAGTTTGAGCAGTTGAGTCTATAATATTATAGGGTACATGTATATTATCAATAGTTAATAAATATTGTAAACATATACTATTTTATAATCACTTTATATTATTAAAAAAATATTTGATATTTTCTAAAAAAAACTAATTAGATATAATTAAAAGAAATAAAAATAATATAATTAAAAAATAAAAAATGTTAAAAGTATTATACATTAAATGATAATTAGATTTTTACCTACTTAAAACTTTCATACATTTTCATTAAAAAATTCTAACATGTAGTTCTAATTTTAGATTATCAAAAACATTTAAAATATCAAATTAATGAAATTATTACTTTTCAATAAATTTAATTTTCCATGGTTTATCAAAAATGACCTTGTTCTTTCACTTTAATTTGGTCCCCCATTTTTTGTAATGTTTTAAGTTTAGTTATTATCATTAAAGTAATGAAGAATTTTTTTCCATAAACAACCTTACAGAGGGTAAAGTCAAAAATCGTATCTCATTATCATTTTGGTATTTAAAGAAATTTTTGGTTTAATTTGTCCACTAAAATTTTCAACTATGATGCACGTTACCTCAATTCGTTTTTCTATTACAAGAAAATCATGAGACCCTTTAGGAATATGTCATGTGATACATAACATATATTAAATTCAAAAAATCGGAAGACAAAAATATTTAAAAAAACACTCTTAATTTCTTAAAATATAGTTTCCAGATATTTTATTTAAAATCCTATTTTTTAAAACTTTTATTCATATTTGATACATATTACGTGTCACATGGCATGTTTCTAAAGTGTCGCATAGATTTTTTGTAACAAAAAAGTAGTTAAAGCGACATGTACGACAGTTAAACACTTTAAGGATCAAATTGAATAAAATAATTTTTCAAATACCAAAATGACGTGAGATACGATTTTAGGAGCCAAAATATCATTCAGCCCTTAATTGAATATAATTGACTAAATTTTAACACAATCTTACTATATGATTGAATTGTCGTAAAAAGAAAAGGAAACCCACGTCATCATATAATTCGCACCGACTAAAAGTATTTTCAAATTTAACTAACTAATAACATTAATAAATTAGAGAACAAGTTATACCAAATTACATTAGAAATTTCATTATAGTAGAGGGATTAGAACCAGAATTAGACCTGTAATTTTAATGGAATGGATCACTCCTTTATAGGGCTAAAAGGAGAGATTCGGCATTGATTGAAGTTGGAAGGTAGGTAAGATAGAGTGGCCAAATCATTGGAACATAATAGTAATTTTGATGGCATCGGTGAACTGGGAAGGAAAGTGTCCCTTTAGGACAACGATTGGGACCCAAATGGGAGAAGTGTAAACAACAAAGCAGTGAGTTCATAATTTACGAATTTGCATGAATTGGAACACTCAAGCCCCGCTTTGCCACAAGTTGAATGAGTAACTTGTGTCTAAAAAAATATATTTAAAAATATAATCATTACATTTAAATCGATTGAAACATGAGTAGGGAGTGTAGTTAAAGTCGGCATGTTTAGGAAAATAATAAGAAAAATAAAAAATATAGGAATAAAGTTTCTAATAAATTAATTAAAAATAAATTATTTTAAATAATAATTGCTAAAGTCATTTTTAATTATGGACGACTTTAATATCATCGTTATTTACTTTATATAAAAATTGACATCCTAATATTATTGTTGGTTACATAATTTTATCAGAAGTTATTCGGTTTAGTAATTGATATTATTTGATATAGACTTATTAATTGAGTGTGTGGAGTATGTTTTATATTAATTTATTTTTATAGATTTTGAATTTGGACATGTTAGAATTTTATGATTCGGATTTGTTTTGTTTTAGTCTTAAAAACTAGTAATGTAACCCGTTTGGTGGAACAACTAAATTAAGAGAAAAAATAGAGAGAATTTGTGATGGATACACACTCTTAAGAGAAATGTATTGTTTCTAATAACTTTTGACTAACAATAAGAATTCTTATGGGGAGAATTCTTGTAACATTATATTTCTTTATCATCAAGTAATTAGTCTGATAAATAGATAATATACATTAAGATTATAATTCTGATAATACGAAATTTTAAAATATATGTAAGGTCTTATCATCACAAATACTTATAATTTCAATATTATGATGATTTTTTTCATAAGCATATTTTTTTTCTCTTTTTAGAGTTTTTCGCTTTATATCTTTTCTGTTCTGCATAATTCTTAATGTAAGATGATACATGTGGCTAAGCAATGAAGAGATGAAGAGTAGAGAAAAGCAAAAGCTTTGGAACTCACCATTGAATTAAGGGAAAAGAAAAAACATCCAGCCACTATTGCAGTCAAAAGTTATCTTTACCTTGTGGTCGTGGGATCGAGTCCCACGGGGGGTAATTCATAATTCGGAGGTCTCCCACGGAAGCTGCTATCAACTTGACGTTGGGGGCAGCCTACTATCCTACCTCCCCCTTACCCCATTACATATGAGAATAAGGGTCAACTAATTTATATTCGATGTCACTCTATTTTGAATATACAGACCATTCTCTTAATTCAATTTACTCTATCTACAAATCTCATAATTCGCTTTCGTATCATAG